CAAGTATGCTTTTCCCCACACCAAGCTCTAGGAATTCTGAAAGTGAAGGATCCTAATTCTTTATAATCAGATAGTCTCAATTTGTAATAACAAGCACCACCTTTGAAAATTAAATATACTTTTCTATAATTTTGAAAAATATGATTATATACATGGTATATATATATATTTATATATATTTTTATATATCATATATATAAAATGATAAAGGCATCAAAGAGAATAAACTGCAAATGTTACATGTTTCACTTTTTATGAAAAAAAAAACTGTTCCTGGAATTTACAAACAGCTTAATGATACAGAAGAAAAATTAAATTGCTAGTCAAAATCTCTAACCCATATTTCAACAAAAGTTATAAAAGTAAAATAACCTTAGAAAGATATTATAACACATGTAGAATAGCAAATATGAAAACATTGAATTAGTTGGGTTATCAAAGCAGAAATTTATACATGTGCTAAATATAAAGAATTTTAGGGCTATAGAAATATCAATTTCATGTTTCTGTTTGTTTTATGTCTAATGTACTTTTTTCTACTAGTTCCCTGTGGGAAGTTACATATAGGTCTAATAGAAAGTCTGTCTTTTCCAATCTGGAATAAATGATGTCAATAAAATATATATTTAGCATAAACACTTAACTTCCTAAATAGGTATTTCAAGAGCACTGCAATTAGAGCAATTCTCAGAGATTCCTTTCCCAAGTTCATCTACAGAAATTATCATTCAATTCTCCCCACACTAGTGTTGTATCCATAAGCATCAATGAGAGGGGTGGGGAATATCTGAGTTTGTATTTCAGATGAATTTAAATTCTATTTAGCTGCATTAATTATTTTTGAATCCAATGTCTGGAGAATGATACCAATTTGTATAACCAAGAATACATAAAGTAAAACTAAAGCTGTCTATACTCAGAAATGTCAAACTATGGTCATTTAAAAAATTCTAGAAAAATTACTTATAGAAGAATTCTATAAGTAATCATCTACTCAAGAACCAACCAAGAAATTTATCTAGAACCTGCTACTAGTCTTTAAGGGAATGTAATAAATACAACAAATATTCACAAAATCTCAGATTTATTACATCAGTCTCAACCCTAGCTGCACATTAGAATCACTTTGGATGTAGATTATATATCTTTACATATATATTTTATGTATTATATACAATATTATATTCTATATTGTGATATGTATTATATAAAATTATAGTTTTATAATGTATAAAAATATACATATGTATATTAAGTTTTACAGACACAGGGCCCTAGCCAGATGTTCTTACTTAATTCATATTGTAGTGATTTGGACATAAGTATTTTTTAAGAATTTTTCTGAGTTTAACTAATTTCATTAAACAGATCCCTAGATGACTCTAATATGCAGCCAAGGCTGAGAATCACTGATTTATACTTTATATAAATTAATCCTCATCAATTTATAACTCACTCAAAATAGTCAGCATTCAGACAATATTGCTTGAAATGCAAAATACTGCTGCCTATTTTAAAAACTTTGGATTTGGTATTCCATGTTACATGTGGTTTATAGTACTGAAGCTATCTCCAGTTGTTTTCTTGGTTAACCTACTTCTTATGTTGGAAGGGTAAGGGCAAGGATGTAGTAAGGGAAAAGGCTTCGTAAGCAAGATAGCTGTGCAGAATTCACATGGAATAATGTGACATAAGCTGCCACATAACCTCAATTTCTTGCAGATCTTTCCAATGTTTAGGAAATAGTTAATTTGATTAATGAGTTTGTTTATCACTCAAGCAAAAGTATGTCCCTAACCTCTGGTCAGTTTTTAAAATGAAGCCTCAAGCTCCTCTAATAGAAGAGCACACTCCCTCAAGTTTCATGTCAGGAAGCGGGAAAAAGATTTCTGGTTACATTTTAAACTTTTAATACTAAGGTAAGACAGTCTTCAGATGACAAGTCTATTCTCTAGCTTCACATCCCTGACAAAGAAGAATTCCAAGATGTTTTGGTAGTTAACAAGACCATCAAGATGTCAATCTGTCTTTAGGTCATAAGATTTCATCTCAATCCAGTTTACCCTTACTAAAATCACAAAACGGGCAGTTTTACAAGTGAGCAATTTATCTGTATCACTATATACCTCTCTTCCCGGTAGAAAAAGGATCATATTTCTGAGCTTAACTAATTTTGTGAAACAGATCACAAGCATATCTAAAGACACCATGATGTTTAATACTTCACACATCTAAAAACCTCAAAATTTAGCAGCTCAAAGGAAAAAACCATCACTGAGGTAAATCAAACCAAGAACATTTTCCTCCCACATATTGTGAAGATAAAGAATGTGAGAGAATTTCAAAAATGTCTTTCATAAAGCCCAAAACTGAGATCAATCACAAAAAAGCTCTTAAAAGTTGTTTGATTTAGATGGTAATGTGTTTTGTTTTAATACTACACTTAGAATTATCTAAACTTTTCCCACAAATGTTAAGTATCTGATACCAGGCCTCACTCCCTGCTGTTTTGTGAAGTTTGAGAAGTAGCAAATCAAATCTCCTAGAGCAGCTTCCCGAATGGGTTCTTCCCTGCAGAGTCCAGCAAATAATGTCTCAAGGGTATCCTTTAGTCTACAGAGCAACTTAGGCAACATCACTTAAGGTATTCGCATGAAACACAACTAAAAACATCCTTTTATTTGAAGGACTCGGATTTGTTTTAAGCTTAGAAAAACATCAAATTTGTCAAGATTTGTTTCTTACTTGAATTGAACCAATAAATTAACTTTTTAGTAAAAGCCTGGATGCATTTTCACAAATCTTTTCCTATCCCTTACTTAAATAATCACTACAAATGTCTGTGAATTGTGCTGTATGCTTTCTTGGATGTTTCAGATGAATTATAATTGCATGAACTGTTGATATGGGATTCTTGTTTGCTTACAAAGGTAATTAAGTCATACTTTTCAGTTAAGTAGGTAAACATTTAGCAATCTCATAAGAAGCACCTACTATGTTTCTTGTGAATAGTTTTCTTAATATCTAAATGTGAGTCTATATAACAGTGATTAAAATAAGAGAACGATGGAGAGAACAAAGAGCCACTCTATTCACCAAGGGTAGCTTTTTTAGCCTTCAGTTGCTTTGTTTTATATGTACATTTTTTTCTTTGCTTATTTGTTTTTTGGTGGTTCCCCCCCCCCCCCACCAAAAGCTGATAGGCTAAACTGTTCATGTGTCTTGATCCTAAACAATTCAGTTTTATTTCATGTTAGGATATGATCAGGAACTACATTTAAAAAAAATTTGGAAAATGTTCTTATCTTCTGTAGGTGAAGGTTGTCCATCACATCATCCACAATATAAAGAATCATGCAGTGAGAATGCTCAGATCCAATCCCAGAACTCAAAGCAGTTAGGTGGAAGGTAAAGAACTGGGGCATAGTAATAAACACTGAAAGGAGATTTCCCAAGAGTTGCTCAATTGGTTCAATATAAGTGACAAACACAGGTGGGATTAAAGCTAAATGTTGGATGAATCAATTTCATAAGACAAATTATCTTTTAGACTGAGGCAAGGTTAACATATATTTTCTAAACTGCTTTGTAGGTCAATCAGTTCAGATATTTAAACATAGTTTTCATAATCAATGCAAATAATTCATGTTCACAACTCTGAAATTCAGGTCTATGATGTAAGTTATATGAAGCGTGGAAGATACATAAAAATATTCTGCCCTTATTTTTCTATATTAAAGCAAAAAGTTCCATATGAAGTATAATCCATAAAATATTACAAGATTCAATATTTTGGCAATGAAAACATTCTAGGATAGTCTACCAGAGATGCGAAAACTAAAAACTAAAAAATATCATGCAAAAGACTGTTTTTAACATTTTAAAAGGCAGAAGTATGTCAGGAGACACTTGAACCATGGGAAATAGTAAACCTCTGCCCACTAGTGTAACATTCATTAGTTTAGAGCTTATTTACCTAGTTTAGTCATTTCCCAGCCATCAAAGAGCCCTGGAGTCTTCTTAATTATAAATACTATGATGTACAATAATCCTCTTATGGGCAAAAAGAGCATAGTTCATTCTTCTTTCAACAGGAACATTTACTTGTTAAATTTTTAGCAAATTGTAAAGCATGGTCATTATTTCTCGTTATTAGGAAAGGCATTTCTGGTTAATCAGTAATCAGGATGAAATACTTTGATTTTCAGTGAATTTTTCTGTTTACGTTTTTAAATTCACATTTCACAAGCAAATATAAAACATTTTGCAAGTTGAAGTCCTTTAAATTGTTCTACCAGTAACATATAAATGTATCCATTCTCATTTTAAACAAAAGTCAATATAGCAACTACATTCCAACTTGCAGTGTAAGTGGTAAATCCAATCATGATGTGGCTATTATCAAGTAAAATGCATGCAATGCAAGAAACATTTAATCAACTCAAATACAGCATGAGGGTGTGCACCAAGCTGTGTTTGAAATGAACACTGATAAGAATTAAACCTGCTGTTGAAACTTAGCTCCCAAGTAAGTAGGTATCTTCACCAAACTTCTCTCTTTATAGGTTGGAAGATACTAAATTGCTACTTTCTTAAAATATTCAATTCACAAAGTGATTAAAGCTATTTTTTTTCTATCAACTGGTCATCATAGAAACATATATTTGCAAAATTTTCTGATTTAGATTGTGGTTATTAAACAAGAATCTCAAAATATGAAACACATAGTACTTGAAATCTTAGGTTTACTTCCAACTTTCTAAAGCAAGCACCACATTTTAATAAACTTAAGAAATAGCTGACCTTATCTTACTGTGCTAGACTATAAATTCAGATAAACTTCGAAAGATTTTAATGCATTAAAATGACGTTCAAACTTTACATTGATAAAACAGTGAGCTGGAATTTTAAATACAACCCTCGAAACTAAGTTCAGTTTTAAAATAAATTCTTCCAAAATAACAAATGCACACACACTGAAGCAAGAATAAATATACTACCTTTCTGCTACAAGAGGAAACTTCTCTGGCTCCGTTTGGTCTGCAAATGACTGCAGTAGCCACAGCTGTAACTGGCTGCAGGAATAGAGCACAACAGAAAGCGAGGAGTTGGCAGGAGCAGCTCCATGGAGCGGCGGGACAGACTGAATGACAGCACATGCAGATTGCTTTGAATTAGGCATGTTAGGGGCTGGAACTTTTGGTGTTGGCTAGCCTATAGGACAGGAGAGTTTTTCTTCTACTTAACCCCTCGGGGCAAGGTCTTAATAATGGTAACAGCTGGCATACAGAGGGACTTGATCTGAGCACAAGGTCAGCAAGCCAGGATATGAAGGTGACATGTAATTTCTAGCCTTTTCCTGCTTCTACAGGGAAATAGCACCAAGGACTGTTTTTAGTTATAACTTCCTTTGATCTTTTGGATTTAAAGTTACTTAGTAGATTAAAGCCACATTAGCTGATATTATTTGCTTGCTTAGACTAACTTAAGTGTTACAGATTCAGTTTTCTGACACATAGGGCTACTACATTTAAACTAACACAAATAAACACCAATCCGTGTTTATTTCCAAGTTCCGGGGATTCTTGTGTTCTTTCACAAATGGCTCTTGAGACTCTGCTTTTGGGATAGAAAGTTCATAGTTTTAAAAGAAGAACCAGAGTGTTCTTTTTTAAAGAGGAAAGTATTAGTCGAAGCAGTTATAAGTGTTTTTCCTCAATTATCCTAAACAAAAACAGCAGTTTGTTAAATGGATCCAACACACTTTTTATAAATGGATGGTCCTGATGATGCCAGTATTTAAGATTCTATAATCACAACATAAAAACCTCATAAATACCTACAAACAAATGCTTTACAAGAGGCATCCCTTAGCAAGTAAGTGATAATTTATTAAAACCATGAAATCCAACTTTTCATGACTTTTTTCCCTTTTCCCCTGTGGTACTGGGATTAAACCCAGGGTTTCTAGTATGCAAAGCAAGTTCTCTTAACACTGAGCTACATCGCCATTTTTTTTTTTTAAGTTTTATTTTTGAAACAAGGTCAGGCTGGCCTCAAATTTGTGATTCTCTTGCTTCAGCCTCCTGAATAGCAGTGATTATAGGTTTGTGCCATCACACCACACCAAACTTCTTCATGACTTTAATAATAAAATGTGTGAACAATTCTCTTAGCACTGACTAGTTAATTATATAAAGACTGCGCTTTCAAAAACGTCAAAAGCACAAAGGAAAATGAGATAAAATAAAACTTCATCAAAATAAACATTTATATCAAAAAACATTACCAAAAAAGTGGGAAAAAATCACAGAATGGGAGAAAATATTTTCAAATCATATATTTAAGTATCTAATATCCAGAATATGTTTTTAAAAATCTTCCTACAACTCAACACTAAATCTAATTTAAGAGAGAAATTTTTGAACAGGCATTTCTCCAAAGGTATGCAAGTGACAAATAGGCCTATGAAAAGATGCTCAACATCCTGAGTGATTTAAGAAAACACAAATCAAAATCACAATGAGTTACCAATTCACACCCCTAAGTATGGCCATAATGAAGTAAAAACAAAAACAAAATAAAAAAAAAAGTACTGTCAAGGATATAGAGAAACTGGAGCCCTTATACGCTGCTGGTGCTAATGTAAAATGCTATGTAGCCACTGTGAAAAACTCAAAAATTTATTTAGTGCTCACCTAGCATGTGCAAGGGTTCTATCCTCAGCACTACATAAAAATAAATAAATAAAATAAGAGTATAAAAAAATTTAACACAGAATTAGCATATACCTTGCAATTCTACTACTAGGTACGGTTGATCCTCACTATTTGCAGATTTCATTTTTGCAAATTTGCCCTATAATTTACTTGTAATCCTAAAATATTTGGGTTTTTTCACACTTATTTTTAAAAGATAATGTGCAGAGTAGTAAAAAATTTAAGTTGTTAGACGCTCATATTCCCATTGGAGGTCAAACAACACAACACTTTCTTGTTTGGCTCTCATATAGTAAACAAGGTCCCCTTTTCTGGTCAATTTAGCACCACACTTTTCTCACTTTTTGCATCTTTTTGTTGTTGTTGTTTTCGTAGCAGTGCTGGGGAAGGAACCCAGGGCCTCACACATTATACAAGTTTCAGCTACTGAGCTAAACCCTGAACCTCTACATTTTTTGTGCTTTTTGGTGGTGATTTCAATTGCTCTTAAATGGCCCCCAAGTATAGTGCTGAAGTGCTGCCTAGTGTTTTAGTGTTTCTAAAGGCAAGAAGGCTGTGATGTGCCTTTCAGAGGAAAATACAAAATAAACTTTGTTCAGGCATCAGTTATAGTGCTGTTAAATGTTGGGTTCAATGTTAATGAATCAACAATATTTACTAGATAGGGTGTCTTTAAACCAAATCACACAAAAGGCAATATTATATATTGATCATGTGATGAAAATATGACCAGAGGCTCACAGGAATCTAATCTTGCATTTGTCCTAGAAGAAATGATTCTGTATTAATTAATTCAGTGTTTGCAGTGACTTTGTGGATGTAACAAAGAGTGAAAATTGAGTCTACATACTCAAGAGAATTGAAAACACATGTTCATACGAAAACTTGCACATAAATGTTCACAGCAGATTTACAACAGCCACAAAGTAGAAACAACATAAATATCCATCAACTCATCAATTAATTAACAAAATTTGGTATATTTGTACAATGCAATACTTACTATTCAGCCATGAAAATGAAGCACTGATACATGTTACAAAATGGATGAACCCTAAAAATATTATCCTGAGAGCCAGAAACAAAAGGCCCTATATTGCATGATTCCATTTATATAAAATATGCAAAACACGCAAATTCATTAAGACAAAAAGTATATTAGTAGTTGCCAGAAGCTGGGGGTAGGGACAGAGGATGCAGAGTGACTGCTAATAGGTATGCAGTTTCTTTTGGACTAACGAAAATGTTCCAGAATTAGATGGTGGTGATGGTTGCATAATCTTGTGAATACACTAAAAACTGCTGAATAGAATGTACATTTTGAATTTGGGGTATGTAAATTATAGCTCAATAAAAAAAAATAAAAAGGTTTGAAGAACTAAGCATTCAACTAGTGGCTCTCAACTTGATTCATAATAATTCCCAGAAGGGCCACAGAAACACTGATTACTGAGTTCCATCACCCCAATTCTGATGCTGAAGGTGTGGGGTGAGGCTTAGGAATTTGCTTTTCTAGGAAATCCTCAGATGACACTGTACTACATTTTGAGAATGCTGTATTAAAAATCATGTCTGAGTTCCTCAAAGGTAGAAAAAGTAATTTTCATTTCTTAATCTCCTAACTATACCTAAAACAGAGCCAGTCTTAGAGAAGAAAAAAGGAGTGGGAGAGAATAAACAGGAAAATTATTTACTGGAGTAAAAATGTAATGATGTCAGTCCCTGAAATCTTAGAGTGTGGTGATTTCATGTCATACATATGCCAAATGCTATAAGATCTAAAAATCCCAAGACAATAAGGAATTAAAGAATTAAGATGAAAATGAAGGTATTTTAATGTTCTCTGTTCATCTCAACGGTACTCTGGTTGAATTTGGAAAAGCAGATATCCTGTTTAATTGTGTTTGCCCTTACAAGAAACACAAAGATTCCAGAGTTGTTGATTCCATAAATTACTAGAGGAAACTCCTTAATTAGTTAAGGTATCACAGAAAGGAAAGACCTGAACTCTCTACCTCATAAACTTGTAAATCCTTATTTACATTTTTAGCAAAGTTAACTGATTTGTGCATATAATCACTTGATTTGAAACATGAGGTCCATGTAAAAATAGACAATTTAAAGTAAACTTCTGGTATTTTTACATGGCATACATTATTACTTCATAAATAATCATGTTTATTTCTAATCACTTCAATATGTCTCTCAGTATATTAGGCAGAGTAAAAAGAAGAGTGTGAGTAAGCTTACAGGTTCTAAAATTTTCTGAAAACAATGTTATTTTTTTTCCTCCTCAGATTGTTTAACTTAGGTATATGTCTTCATTATCAGAGAGACTGAGGGTAAGGGGTAGGGAGAAGGGAATAAGAGTTGGTAGGAGAGACACATTTGGTACTTTTTAAAAAGTACAAAAACAGCTGCTGATTAACAAACTCTTTCCCAGCTGAACCTAGCCCAAAATTCAATTCCAGATTTTGTTAGGGTTATTAACATTTAGAAGTTCTGTCTGTTGTCTATTTTCTTTGTGTTAAATGTCAAAACAGTTAGGAACAAATAAATTATAATCTAAAGTAGACAGTAGATGAATGATTCAGCAAGATTTTCTTCTTTCAGTAGGGTTAAGTCAATAGTTCAGTTATTTGGAAGTATGAGTTCAGAAAAACCAATCGTAGGAAAGTTCTACAGACAATATTCTATATTGCATTTTAATGTTTCTGAGTAACATATGATTAGATATCTACCCTTGGACGCCTCAGACCGGAACATGATGATGTTCAACTCATAGCCTAGAACAGGGAATCAATGTAGACTTGCAAGTCCAATCTCAGCTCTACCACTCAACTGGCTATATAACCTAGAATTAGTCACTTATTTTAGAGGTTACATGCTCCTATCTACAAAATCCAAACACTAGAAAATATGATCTCACAGGCTCTGCATTCAGTTTTTATGAATTTGGATGTCACTACAAATATATAAAATAAATCCAAGTCTTACTTTTCAAATTTGGGTTAAGAAAAAACTACACATTCAAAGTTAAGTTAACAAATTTGGAGCAAATACCATACTGCAAATTAACTGGAACAAAACCAAAATAATCATGGTGTGCTAAAGTTCTTCCCCTGAATTTAGAAATGTGTGCATCAATCTTATATATGCCTCTCATCTGACAACTGACCATTCTTAATCTTATTGCTTCTTTCTTTTCCCATTTCCCACTGAAATTTCTACCTCCAGAATATACCACTCTTTTTTAACATTTAAAAAGTTGTTATTTTTAGTTATACATGACAGTAGAATATATTTTGACATACCAAATATACAATTCTTAAAAATGAAAACTGTATGGCCTTATTATCCCACAATCTGACACCTAAAGAATTGGCTCTTTACCCTTATCATGACCTCCAACTCCAGTCTTTATCCATGTCTTTTCTACTTTTTACTTGCTGAGTATTGATTTACTTGACCAGCACTCAAGCCTTTCAAAGATTTCCCCTAAAATTGCTCTCCCTATCTCCCCATTTATCCTCACCCTCCCAACCCCAAGAAGCAGAGTGAGGTGCACACTCTGACCTCTGGAGGGCACTCCACACTGCTACCATTCATCTCATCTGCCACAGATTCTCCACTGGAAATCCCCACAGACATTGCCAAAAATTTTTCCCCCCAAGTTCCTTACCTGAAACCTCCCAGAAAGTAATAGTATATATCTTGTGGTAAAGAAGGAAACTATCTGATCATTAGTTTCTTCAACACTACCATCTCTACCTTGAACTTTTTCTGGAACTTGTCCCTTAGTTTTCACAATGTCTGACCCTTTTTGGTAAATTAACTACTTACCCTAGGTAGATGTAACTATTCTAGATTTTTGCTACCCAAAAAGGCAGCCTCAAGCCATATATAGCTACTTAATTTTAGATTAATTCACATTAAATAAAACTAGAATTTTAGTGCCCAGTTGCAGTCAGCATTGAATTTTAGGCACTCAACAGTCACATGTGTTGCTCATGGGTATTGAACTGGACAGTGCAGACAGAGAATATTTCCATCACTGCAACTAGATTTATTGGACAGTGCAGCTCTAGACACTGACTACCATGTTCTTCTACTGTCTCATTCTCCTTCCCCAAGCCCATCTTCATCTTTTCCTGTCTGTCAACTCTTTCTTCACTTACTTACAAAAAAATGTAAAGTTTTCCTCCAGTCTAAACAACAACAACAAAAAATCTTTTCCTCAGTCTGCTAGTTCTCCGGCTACTTTTCCTTTCTTTTCACTGCGAGACAATACTCAGGCCTTGCTCCATCTCCTTACCCACCAGCTAATAAAACTCTTTCTTCAAAAATGAAATTCAAAGGTCCTTTTCCATACTCATTTTCTTTACATTTCTTCATTTCCCAATTCTGCTGGTAATACTTTTCTCCTACTCAGTTCCCATTATCTTTGTTAATCTCTATTCTATTTTCTTAGGCAGATCTTTTAGATTCTCTTGTTCTAAA